AAAGAGAAAGGAACGAAAGAAGAGAGAGAGAGTGGAGGCCCGGGCGTGGTGGCTCAACCTGGAATCACAACACTTTTGGGAGGCCGAGGCAGGCGGATCGTGAGGTCAGGAGTCGAGGACCAGGCTTGGCCTGAACAAAGTGAACCCTGTCTGCACTCCAGCCTGGGCAACAAAGCGAGACTCTGTCTCAAAAAAAAAAAAAAGAAAGAAAGAAAGAAAAAAAGATTCAAGACAAATGGGGAGTAGTGGGGAGGGTTGGGGGAGACGTAGATTAAGTCCCCATAAGCAGCCTGAATTCAATGGAATAGGTTGCGTAGCTATCCAGAGAGCAGCTCCCACGGCCAGGGACGCTGGGTGCGGACAGGAAAGCTTTGCTACACAGTGTGCTCTCTCCTGAGGTTAGAGGAGCTGTGCCTCTTTGGGAGGATGTGGTTTGCCCTCGGCCTGTATTTGTGTAGAATCAGCAAGTTAGCCTTGAAGTCCTATTCAGGTGGGCCCCCTCTTGCCCTGTACCCAGAATGAGCTGATGTGAGATACTGAGAGTGGCTTCACTGGGAAGAGAGCCCGGGCCATTCTTCCCGTTGGCCTTCTCGGATGCTAACTGCTAGGGCAAAACATCCTGTGGGAAGAGAATCCCCTGCTTGCACTGAGAAATTCAGAAGCAGGAGGTCGGGCACGGTGGCTCACGCCTGTAGTCCCAGCATTTTGGGAGGCCGAGGTGGGTGGATCACTTGAGACCAGCCTGGCCAACATGGTGAAACCCCGTCTCTACTAAAAATACAAGAATTAGCCAGGTATGGGGGTGGGCATCTCTAATCTCAGCTATTCGGGAGGCTGAGGCAGGAGCATCGCTTGAACCAGGGAGGCGGAGGTTGCAATGAGCCGAGCTCACGCCACTGCACTCCAGCCTGGGCGACAAGAGTGAAACCCCATCTCAAAACAAAGAAAAGAAAAGAAATTCAGAAGCAGGAATCCTGGGCCAGCGTCATCCTCAGACCGAAGAGAACTGTAGAATTCTGATTGACATCTTCCAAAAACCTACCCTCTCCAAACCCAAAGCAGTTTTTGCTGACATCTGGTCTTTCTGGGATGCTGATATTTTTATTTATAAAATGACGCTATTATCCCCAAATAGATTCTTATTTTTAACAGGCTTTCTCCCCTTGAGGCCTGCCTGAGGCTCATAACTTTGTTCTCTGGCATCTCTGTGTTACCCTGAAAAGACAGGAAGGCTCCTGGGCTCTGCCAGGAGCAGCGAGATGGGGAGGGTTGGCAGCCGGAAAGTCAGACAACTGCTTGTATTCTGCGTTACCTCCCTCCTCGCCCTCATCAGCCTCAGTCCAGGAAAGAGAAACCTTCAGTGAGCGATCATTGCCCCTGAACTAATGCCCCTGTGAGTCACACAGGAAGGGGCAGGTGAAGAAGAGGCCTGATGGGGCCTAGTTCTCTGTCCCCTCCTCCTCCCCTTCCCCGGTGCATCCTCCCCACCGAGGTTTCTCTGGTTTTTATCTCTCAGTTGCCCAACATGTTCGGCGACCTTCGGTCCACGTTTATAGCCTTGATGATTGGGTCCTACGCTTCCTCGGCAGTCACCTTTCCAGGAATCAAGGTGAGCACGTGTAATTTGCACTGGTGTCTGTGCAGAGGCCTGCTCCAGGCTAATTCCGCCCTCTCTGAAGAGAGAGGCAATTGTGGGCACCGGGGGTGGCCCCTCTTCACCACCCCCACCCGGGCAGGATGCACCTGGGCGTCACAGGAGCGAGAGCTGTAAACCGCGGGGCCTCAGGGGACAGGATTCACGCATGTGGCTGCAGGATCTGCCGCAGGTGCCTTTGCACTTCTGGGCTGGGGCAGGGAAAGGGCAGTGGGTGAGTTTGTCTCCAGTTGTGAGTCCAGCCCCCGTCTCCTCCATCTTCCTTGTCTCCTCCTGCTCCCCTGGCTCCCCCGCCCCCAGCCTGCTGTTATTGTGCCGTTACTCCCCGCCAGCCAAAGCACTGCTCTTGGCCAAGTGGTTCAGCTGTTTCCCTCCTAGGCAGGATTTTGAGCCTGTGGAAGTCACATAGGGTCAGGACGAAGCAAACACCTCACAGTCCATCAGCCCGAGTTCCCCAGACCCTGTGGCTCTGCCAGGGCCCCGTAGGGGCTTCTCCCACCTCTGGCCCTCACACTAAGTAAAAGCCCCGTTCCTCAGGGGTCTGTGTGGGAATGCTGCTGGCGAGGAGAGGGGGTCACGGTGTGGGCTGGCCACCTGGGCATTGAAGTGGTGGGCGCTGGGACTCTGGGGCCAGCCGTCTTATAGACTTGCAGAGATTCTCACGCCCCTGGAGCGGGGAGGATCCCAAAAGTTCCTCCTCCTCCTCCTTTTTTGGTGGGGGACGGAGTCTCGCTCTGTCGCCCAGGCTGGAGTGCAGTGGCGCAATCTCAGCTCACTGCAACCTCCACCCCCGGGTTTAAGTGATTCTCCTGCCTCAGCCCCCCAAGTAGCTGGGACTACAGGCGACCACTGCCACACCTGGCTAATTTTTGTATTTTTAGTAGAGACGGGGTTTCGCCATGTTGGTCAGGCTGGTCTCGAACTCTTGACCTCATGATCTTCCCACCTCAGCCTCCCAAAGTGCTGGGATGACAGGCGGGAACCACCGCGCCCGGCCTCCTTGAGCATTTATTTGGCCTCTGCCATGTGAGCTCTCAAGGGCACTGGGGAAGCATCAGTGGATGCTTCTGGAAGGCTCTTGCCTTCAGGGAGCCCCACCCACTAACGCCAGACAAGCTGATGGACCAGAAGCACCGTCCCCTCTGCCGGGCCGATCACTCTGAGCCTGCGACACATGCTGTGATCGTGGTGAGGGGGTCAGGAAGGCCTCCACGTTGGGGGGCTAATGACACGCCAGGTCCAGATAACCAGCAGGGCAGGCACGGTGGGAGGACTGGAAGGCGGGTGCCTGATGCCCCAACGCCCAGGCTGGCAGGGCTGTGCCTCCTCACACGGCTCAGCGCAGGGACAGCAGGGGCGGCCAGATGCTCCTGCCTGCCGCGGCTCTGGCCTCCCTGAGCTAACTCTGCCCCTTCCCGACCCCACCCTGTCCCCGCGGTGCCCGTTAGCTCATCTACGATGCTGGTGTCTCCTTCATCATCATCCTCGTGGTCTGGGCCGGCTGTTCCGGGCTGGTTTTCCTCAACTGCTTCTTTAACTGGCCCCTGGAGCCCTTCCCAGGCCCGGAGGACATGGACTACTCGTAAGTAGAGGTGCCCCCGTCCCGCCTGCCCCCCGCCCCCCAGCCGGGGCCCCGGGCAGCACCCTCAGACACTCTCCCGGGACCCCAGGGTGAAGATCAAGTTCAGCTGGCTGGGCTTTGACCACAAGATCACAGGGAAGCAGTTCTACAAGCAGGTGACCACGGTGGGCCGGCGCCTGAGCGTGGGCAGCTCCATGAGGAGCGCCAAGGAGCAGGTGGCGCTGCAGGAGGGCCACAAGCTGTGCCTGTCCACCGTCGACCTGGAGGTGAAGTGCCAGCCGGACGCCGCAGGTACCCTCCTGAGACCGCAGCCGGGCGACGGGCGGGGAGTGCTCCATGGGTGTCGGCTCACCCCGTTCCCACCTCACCCCAAAAGGGGAGGCAGCCCTGCCCGCCTTGTCCTGCAGAGGCGCTCCGGAAGGCTTGGGGGAGGGAAAGGGATTTGCCTAACTGATTTCACACACGAGGCATCCCCAGTGCAGCACCAACCCCGTCATCCTCACCAGGCCCGGCCCGTCCCGAGGGGCCCCCTCCGGGCCTCCAGTGTGGAGGGACCTGCACGGCCCCCGTGGCGGGGACAGTGAGCCCCGGCCCTGAGCCCCGCACCCTCTCCCCGCAGCGGCCCCCTCCTTCATGCACAGCGTGTTCAGCCCTATCCTGCTGCTCAGCCTCGTCACCATGTGCGTCACGCAGCTGCGGCTCATCTTCTACATGGGCGCCATGAACAACATCCTCAAGTTCCTGGTCAGCGGCGACCAGAAGACAGGTGGGCGCCCCGGGCAGCCTCGGTCACTGTCCCTCCCCGGCCTGAGCCCAGCCCGCTGGCCACCGGCCAGAATGTGTTCAGCTGAGCCAGGCCAGCAGGGCCACGGAAAGGCCGCATCCCAGGCACCGCCTGCCTGTCAGAGCTGTTTCATCACAGCCAGCCCCAACTGTTCCTTCGTGTCCCCATCAGGGTTTCCTGGTCCAGGAGGGAGGGAAGGACCAAAATAGCTGCCTGGGGGTGGGGGGTGGGGGGTGTGTTTTCCAGCGCCTGAGGGGGAGGGTTGCCGTGTGTGTCTGTAAACGAAAACGGAACAGAACCCTCCACCTGAGCGTGGCTGAAAGACGGCAGGTCAAGCCTGAAGTCCTCCCAGAAAGTGGCACGGTGGGTGCGTGGACACCCTGGACGTCAAGGTCAGGACGTGGGGGAGACGTTGGGGCAACGGGCCCACGCTGGGCTCTGCATCCCTCGCCACGAAACAGGGCGGGGCAGAGGCTTCCTTGGAGCCTGTGGTTGGTTGAGGCCCGTCAGCTCCAGAAAACACAGCTGATAACCCACACTCCACTTTTCCAAACAACACAGGTCTTCCGCTGATGAGCTGATGAGAGGTTTTGATTCTACAGAGAAAGTCAGGACTTCCCCCCACGGCCTGAGCTGAGTCAGCCTTAGTCATCCCCAGCCTCCCTGGCGTGCAACTTTTCCCCAGGGTTTACTTGTTTTTATCAAGGTGAAGATCCCCCAGGCCTTGTGAAGAAGCAGTTACCAGGTTTTTAGGAGATGAGAAATCCAGCTTTAACAAAAGGAAAAGATAGCAAAGGGAACCAGATAAGGGCCAGTTCTACTGTGAAAATGGGAGTCTCCGCCGGCCGTGGTGGCTCACGCCTGTCATCTTAGCACTTTTGGAGGCTGAGGCAAGTGGATCATGAGGTCAGGAGTTCAAGACCAGGCTGGCCAATATGGTGAAACCCCATCTCTACTAAAAATACAAAAATTAGCCAGGCCTGGTGGGGGGCATCTGCAATCCCAGCCACTCAGGAGGCTGAGGCAGGAGAATCGCTTGAACCGGGGAGGCGGAGGCTGCAGTGAGCCAGTGAGCTGAGATTGCACCATTGCACTCCAGCCTGGGCGGCAGAGCGAGACTCCGTCTCAAAAAAAAAAAAAAAAAAAATCTGTGGAACACACTTTGGGGAACCCTGATCTATCATGTCTTTTTCTTCCTTGTCTTTTTGAGACAGGGTCTCTTCCTGCGTTGCTTCGGCTGGAGGGCAGTGGTGCGAACACTGCAGCCTTGGCCTCTTAGGGCTTCCCAGGTGCGTGCCACCGCGCCCAGCTAATTTTTAAATTTTTTGCAGAGATGGGGTCTTGCTCTGTTGCCCAGGTTGGTCTTGAACTCCTGGGCTCAAGGGATCCTCCCGCCTTGCCCCCACAAAGTGCTGGGATTACAGGTGAAACCCCCACACCTGGCCGGATAAACACTCAGCTCTGGAGTGGTGGAAACCCCGGAGTGCCGAGAGAGCCGGTCCCTGGCCCTCGAAAGGCGCCTCTCCCTGCTGCTGCAGCATCTTTCACTCAAGCTCGCTGAGAAATCTTTTGCTGCCCAAGGGGAATTTTTCCAACTGCTTCCCATGTTCAAAAAGTCAATTTCGAGAAGTAGAGGAAGTCAGGCCAGGCAGATCGGTCTGTGGCAGATGAAGCACTGGTTTTCCCCATCCTCCTTCTGTGACCTGTTACACCCAACACCCATAGCCCCAGCTGTGGCCGAGAGGCGGCCGCAGAGTCCGAGTCACTTTCCGCATACTCAGGAACTGTGCGGCTCCCCAGGAACGAGTGTGCCGTGCCGCTGAGGGACGGCTCGAACCACCAGAGCCATCACCTCCGTGTATGGCCCCACGACCACCCACAGCAGAGGCTCCCGGCTGCTGGTTCCAAATGGAGACTCCAGGTCTTGCCGCTGAGCGGTGACTCTGCTGCCTCCCAGCGTTTGAGACCCGCCATCAAACAGGAGTGCAGACTCGGGGAAACCCTAACTAGCCAGGGGGCTGCCAGCTGGGAAAAGGCTGCCTTTTCTTTTTTCTTTTTTTTTTGATTTAGGGTCTTGCTCTGCCACCCAGGCTGGAGTGCAGTGGTGCCACTGATAGCTCACTGCAGCCTCCGACTCATGGACTCGAGGGATCGTCCCACCTCGGCCTCCTAAGTGTCTGTGTGTGCCACCATGCCTGGCTAATTTTTTTTTTTTTTTTTTCCATAAAGACGAGGTCTCACTATTTTGCCCAAGCTGATCTCAAACTCCTGGGCTCAAGCAATTGTCCCACCTCAGCCTCCCAAAGTACTGAGATTATAGGTATGAGCCACAAGTGGAGCACAGTGGTGTGATCTAGGCTCACTGCAACCTCTGCCTCCTGGGTTCAAGTGATTCTCCTGCCTCAGCCTCCCAAGTGACCGGGGTTACAGGTGTGCACCACCATGCCCAGCTAATTTTTGTATTTTTAGTAGAGACAGGGTTTCACCATGTTGATCAGGCTGGTCTCAAAGTCCTGACCTCAAGTGATCCACCTGCCTCAGCTTCCCAAAGAGCTGGGATTATAGGCCTGAGCCACCACACCCGGCCAAAAATGCAGTCTTGAGATGGGGAAGACGTGGCCTGTGCTGTCCCCAGCAGTGCCCAGGCCCAGCCAAAGTAGGCAGTGCTGCCTCACTCTCCCACCCACCCTCAGAGTGTAGCACTTACTGGGAAGAAGCATTGAGAAACCAGAACTGAGAGGGGAAGACAGTCCAGGGCCAATAGTTCTTGGGGACTGAGGCCTGAAAATGGGAGCAGGGTACAGAGGCTGTGGCTGGCCAGATGGATTGGGTGCCCCCTGCACCCCTACCCTCTAGTCAGGGGCCACCCATCCTACCCTCCCTTTGTACAGAGTTGACAGGTGACATGTTTTCCTGTTGTTGTCCTTGACTTGATAACAATCTAGGAGTTAAATAGATACGATCATCTGTTTACATCATCATTTATGATAGATACTATCGTCAGATACAACTGAAAAACGAGGCCTAGAATGATGGATTAACTTGTTCAGGGTCAGAGCCAGGACTCACATATGGGTCCTAAGTCACTGGATCAGCCAAGGGCCTCTAGACATTCCACTCAGAGCAGCAGCTCAGGGGCCACCAGGCCTCTGTGGAAGGGGGGCCATGGCCCAAGGAAGGGGAGCACACCCAGGCATGGTCCCTGCTTCTTGGAGTGGAAGGGAGAGCAGCTCTGGCCATCTGGAGGAGACCCATGGTGTCAGATGCCTTGGCCGGGTGTCTGGGGCAAGTTCTTTGACCTTTCCCTCTCTCTGAGCACAGCAGGAGGTGGCTGTGACACAGCCACTTCCCGCAGGCAGTGTGGTGGCAGGGACCCTGATTGCACCAGGCCTTCCGCACGCCCGCCACTTCCCCGTCACGCTACCTGCCAACGTCACAGGCCTGATTCACCAGCCTACCTGTGACTTGGCACCAGCAGACAGGAGAATGTCAGCAGGGGCCCGGGCTGGGCCCTGTCCCGAGTCCACTCCCAGAGGCCTAGCTGCAGCTCTGCCTCTCCTGAGCACCCTGAGTCATGCTTGGTGGGAAATGCAGTGCGGGAAATGCAGTGCGGGAAACGCAGTGCGGGAAATGCAGTGCAGGAAACGAAGTGCGGGAAATGCAGCGCGTGCTGGGCGTAGAGTGAGCCTGTCTCCTCTCTCCATCTCTCTGTAGCACTGAGATTTCTGCCACTAACCTCTCTTCTTTCTGCTTTTTCACTTTTGCTTTCTTGATGCAGTGATGGCCACGGGTAAGCAGGGGGTGGAGGTGGGGATTGTCAGGGAATCAGGAAATGCTGTGATGTCCCTTCCTAGCCAGTCTCTGTTCAACCCAGAAGCTCCTCGCCTCAAGCTCCAAACATGCCTCCTGGCTAGAGCCACAGGGATAAAGGTGGGGTAATCAACATTCCCCATCTGTTTCCCTGGAAAATCCACCATAATTTTAAGTCTTTGAATATGGAAGCTCTGACGTCAGAGCCCCATGAGTGGTGCCTTTCTGCAATCTTTCTTTCTTTCTTTCTTTCTCTTTCTTTCTTTCTTTCTTTCTTTCTTTCTTTCTTTCTTTCTTTCTTTCTTTCTTTCTTTCTTTCTTTCTTTCTTTCTTTCTCCTTCCTTCCTTCTCTCTTTCCTTCCTTCCTTCCCTCTTTCTTTCTTTCTTTCTCTCTTTCTCTCTTTCTTTCTTTCTGTTTGAGATGGAGTCTTGCTCTGTTGCCCAGGGTGGAGTGCAGAGGCGCGATCTTGGTTCACTGCAACCTCCACCTCCCAGGTTCAGGTGATTCTCCTGCCTCAGCCTCCTGAGTAGCTGGGGTTACAGACATGCACCACCATGCCTGGCTAATTTTTGTATTTTTAGTAGAGACGGGGTTTCACCATGTTGGCCAGGCTGGTCTTGAACTCCTGACCTTGTGATCCACCTGTCTCGGCCTCCCAAAGTGCTGGGATTACAGGCATGAGCCACCACGCCCGGCCATTCTGGGCTATTTCTAGAGGCAGAAACTGACAGCCCATCACTTAGAAAGCCTCCATCACAGTAGTTCCCAAGTCATAGCGACTTCCGGGAGCTCTGGGAAGGCCATTGTGACACTCTGGGTTTCATTAGCTGTTTCTTAGAAACAAGCAGGGGATTTGGAGCTGAGAAGAAGGTGACCTACCCCGTGCTCCAGCCTCGACTTCAGAGTTAAGGTCTCTGGGCTCCCCGCAAGACCCACAGTGAAGGGGGTTCTAGGGCAGACCCCAGAAAAGCCTGTGGGTACCAGCCCCTTCCCAGCCGGTGCCCAGTCCCTGCCCCAGGGCTGTCTGCCGGGCGTCCCTGTGACGCAGCGCCTTCTTCCACAGTTGGCCTCTACACCTCCATCTTTGGCGTGCTCCAGCTGCTGTGCCTGCTGACGGCCCCCGTCATTGGCTACATCATGGACTGGAGGCTGAAGGAGTGTGAAGACACTTCCGAGGAACCTGAGGAGAAAGACGCCAACCAGTGCGTAGGCAGGGCCGGTGCCCCGGCTCCCAGCCCGCAGCCCCTGCAGAAAAACCCCAGAACTGCATGTCAGGCACAGGGTGGGCGGGTCAGAGGGAGAGAGGATGCACTCCAGCTCCTCCCCAAGTCCTTCCAGAGACTCACTCATTCAGCTCAGCGTGCATTTAAACTGCTCCCCTCTTTATGGAAATTCTTTGGAATTCTATGGAAATGCTAAAGTTTGAGGCCAGGTGCGGTGACTCATGCCTGTAATCCCAGCACTTTGAAAGGCTGGGGTAGAAGATCACTTGAGGCCAGGAGTTCGAGACCAGCCTGGGAAACATGGCCAGCCTCCCGTCTCTACACAAAATTTAAAAATTGGCCAGGGATGGTGGTTTATGCCTATAATACCAACACTTTGGAAGGTTGAGGTGAGTGAACTGCTTGAGCCCAGGAGTTAGTGACCAGCCTGGAGAACATGGTGAAACCCCGTTTCCACCAAAAAATACAAAAATGAGCCAGGTGTGGTGGTGCGCACCTGTAGTCCCAGCTACTCGGGAGGCTGATGTGAGAGGATCGCCTGAGCCTGGGGAGGTCGAGGCTGCAGTGAGCTGTGATCGCACCATTGCACTCCAGCCTGGGCGACAAAGTGAGACGGTGTCTCAAAAAAAAACTTTAAAAATCAGCTTTAAAACTTTAAAAAAACTTTAAAAATCAAAAAGAAAAAAAAAAGCATCAAGTAAGATGGAAGAAAAAGAGACACAGGTGAAAGTGTGCGGACAATGGATAGCAGACCATTTGGCTCCTAAGACTGCCCTCCCTCCACCCCTTGGCAGTGGCTACACCATCTTAAAGCCTCCTAAAGTGCTGGGATTACAGGCCTGAGGCACTGCACCCAGCTCAGATGGTGACTTTCATTCATTCTATTCAACTGAGCAGCCCAGCAGCCCTTTGTTCTCTGCCTGCAAGGTTTATCCCAGTCAGCTTGAGTAGTCAGTTGCTGTAACCATATTATGTGTTAATAGAGTTGTTCATGATTGCGAAGATTAAACAAGGTACTGGAGTCCTACTTTATGTAAGGGTTGGGCTCCAAGATCAGAGGATGAGATAAACGCTATTTTCTTTTTTTCTTTCTTTCTTTTTTTTTTGAGACGGAGTCTCGCTCTGTCGCCCAGGCTGGAGTGCAGTGGCCGGATCTCAGCTCACTGCAAGCTCCGCCTCCTGGGTTCACGCCATTCTCCCGCCTCAGCCTCCCGAGTAGCTGGGACTACAGGCGCCCGCCACCTCGCCCAGCTAATTTTTTGTATTTTTTAGTAGAGACGGGGTTTCACCGTGTTAGCCAGCATGGTCTCGATCTCCTGACCTCGTGATCCGCCCATCTCGGCCTCCCAAAGTGCTGGGATTACAGGCTTGAGCCACCACCGCGCCCGGCCTCCAAATGCTGTTTTCTATGGCTCACCTTAATGTAATCAGCTACGGTTTATTGCATTAGACCCTCTGCTGAGCACTCCATGCACAGTATCTCAGTGAAGACTCCCAACAGCACGGCAAAGTGGGGACCAGTGTTATACCCATTTCACAGATGAAGGAGCTGAGACTGGGAGTTGCAGTAGTTTGCCTGGGGCCACACAGTTAGGATGTGGTGGGCCTGGGACTCCCTGTGCATCTGTGAGCACCTGGGGTCTGTTCTTGGATCATCCGGGGTGTCTGCATGGGTGTGAGGCTGGGATCGGCAATCATTCATTCACAAGAGATAATTACAGAGGGTGCTTGGCTGGGTGCAGTGGCTCATGCCTGTAATCCCAGCACTTTGGGAGGCTGAGGCG